GGACTTTGAGAAATTCCTGGAAGCGCAGGGGACTACTCATGAGTTATCTTGCCCCCGAAAGTCCCTGGCAAAATGGGCTTGTTGAAGTTGTGCAGCGTGACTTGCAGCAGGGGTTAAAACTTATCTGCACGATGCTAATCTGCCCAAAGACTTTTGGGCTGAAGCACCCATGCTTTTTTTATGTGAGAAATCGCAGTTATCATTCTGGTTTAGATGTCACCCCCTATGAGAAGTTGTTTAAAAACGCCCCCTAATCTGAAATACCTACGTATTTGGTTCAGATGTATTATGCACTATCCTGCTAAGCAGAAATTGGTGAGCGTAGTGTTCAGGGGAAATTAATGGGCTACCAGCAGGGCGACAGAATTTACATAACCAGCAACTGCAATTTCATATTACCAGAAGCATGATACAAACTGTAAAGTTGGAATGGAGTTGCTGTTTTCCAAGATACTGATGGTATAAATGATACTGAGGAAGAAGAGGAAGCAGGAGCAGCAGCAGCAGGAAATGGTGCTTCTGAATTAATGGGAAAAGACAACAAAGCCTGTTGAATCTGATAATTTGTTTGATTTAAAAGTCCACAGGCATCTGAGGGGAGTTAGATTCTCTTGAGTTTTCTGACCGTGAGCTTAGCCTACAGGCACCTCTTCAGTCTGACAATGATAATTTACAACCTGAAACTAGTAGTGGTCATTGAGTCCCATTAAGTCTGAGGAGTCTCACTCTCCTTCCGCGACTGAGACGTCTCAGATAGAAAGAGGCAGAAGCCACAACGTTTTGCAGATGAACATTTTAATACTGTGAATGCAATAAGGCGGTTTTTGAGCCAAAAAGCTACAATGATGTTCAGAATTACCTAAGCACCAGCTGTAAATTGTATTAAAGCTATGAACTCTGAGATAGCTTCTTTAAAAGAGCATAACACTTGGTCTCTTTGTACCACAAACCCCAGATATGAGACTATTGATTCAAAATGGGTTTATAGAGTTAAAATGAATGTACAAAAATGAAGTTGTAAGGTACAAGGCAAAACTAGTTGCTAGGGCTCTTCAACAAATGCCAGGCGAAAGATTATGATTGTGCTATTCACCAAGTGTAAAATATGAAACAGTTAAGCTTTTGTTAAAAGATGCATCACAATGTGGAAGAAGCCCACTACACAATGTTCTCTGCTCTTAAAGAGAGTGGTAATGTACCTTAAACATACCAAACATTATAGGCTGCAGTTACAACATGTATTGACAAAGGTTTTGAAATTTTCTGCGATGCATCTCATGCAGTGGCAACAAAATAATTGCAGGGGTGTGTCTGGTATAGGTTTTGGTATAACGGTTGTCTCATTTGAATGGCATCCCAGACACAAACCATTATTTGTCTCTCTACAACAGAGAGTGAATTATCGCATGCGTTTTCAGGCCCACTGCGTATGTAGAATGTATCTGCAAGTATTTGCAGAACCTACAGATGCAAGTAACATTACCAGTAAAAGAACTTACCTTGATTCCCAGAGTGGACTTGCTATCCTGTGTGCAGAACCATACGAGCGCACTAGAGTTTAAGATACGTTTAGAATTGTTTAAAAGAAACTAATTTGCTGATTGAAATGTTGATTTAAATTGTTCCATGTTGACAATCAA